ACCGCAACGGAATATAGACATCGTAATAGCAAATAGGCGAAAATAGATATACTAACAAGGAATATAATGCGTTCTACGATAATGAATAAATCCTTGAAGTAGACGACTCACATGAAAATGTAATAGTAAATCTCAAAGGCAATTGCCCATCACTTCTAAGGAGAATTAATAATCAGGTCATATTAATCACTTAATTAAACATTTATAAGTAAAAGGAGTGTTGAATTAAGGCCTACAGACCAGACAATGAATTTTATTGAATTAATAGACGCCTACCTTTACCAATGTGGCGGCGAGTATTTTCAATAGTAGAATTTCGATTAACATTTGACAGCAGGCCAAGGCAAAATCGATCAGAATTATTCGATGGATCAGTGAATCCATCAATAATGATGCTAGGTTGAGAAGCAAAAAAAGCTTCACCGACTCGGTTGTTGAGCTCATAGTAGACAACAGAGCACCAATGTTTAGGTTCCTGATAATTGACAGGTTGAACGTCTAAAGGTAGAAGAATGTTAAAATATCATGTTTTGAACAACTATCTTAGTATAAATAATGCATCTCTTTAAAAAAAGTTTAGAAATATTCCGAATTTCTTTTTTCAAGTATTAGCATTAGACAGGGATAGCTTTAAAGTTTAAAAAAACCTTATAATTATGATCAAATGGACATGAAAGGCTCAAAGAAACCCATAAAATTAGCAGCAAAGAGCATAATAGGGCTTACTTTGAGGCAAGGATTCTGTTTGACCACTGTGTGGTTGGTAGGTTGTCAAGGCAGAATCTGAATATGAAAAAAATAATTATTTAGTAATGCCCTAGAGATTTAGTGGGATGAATTGACGCAAAAAAACAGTACAAGCGATGCGTGAATAATAATTGAAGCATACTTTGGTTTGGAAGTCCAGCAGAGGGAGAAGGAGCAGATTGCCCAGTTGGCGAAGCAGCTGAAAATCCATGTGGATAACTGACATTATATGGCATAGAGGATTCCGTCGGCTGCTGAGCTAGGTGTTGGTAGGAGACAATAGCGTTGACGTGTCCTGAGACTGGATCAGGGGAATTTGCTACTGAGCCAGGAGTTAGGCTAGGATATTCACTTTGCCGAGGAACAAGCACGGGGGGTAAAACTATAAAGCAAGAACAATGAAAAGATAATAAGTGAAAATGACCAGGGCGTGTATACATGAAGGGGAAGCAAAAACACACCGGGACTTTCCACCCTCTTGTAGTGATATGGATTTATACATACTTCTGTCTCCTTTGCGGAAAATGGAAATCGACAACATTCAAGGGGTTTTAATTCATGGTGACTTTGTAGATCTGGCCAGCGCCACACTCGACAATATATTACATGGGGAAGTCCCTTTCGATGTGATACTTGCAATCTTCCATCAAGAGACCTAGGTATAGTTACACAATCGCAGGGCTCCCCCGGGTTACTTAAGGCTCTTTCTAAGGCTTCGAGAGCTCCTTTCTTTTTTTTCAATTTTTTTACAAGCGAATCAACAGCTTTTTCAGCCCATTTTTCTTCTTCATCACCTTGCTTCCAGCCTAGTAACCGTTTCACAGCAGGAGAGGTAAATGTAAAGAGGCTATTAAGACTAGAAATTGGAGTGGTCATCACCAAATTTAAGCACAGCACCGAAAAGAATGATACAAACGAAAAAAATCTGGAACTAGCAGCCCTAGGGAGCTGCGCCCACAACGTTAAAAAATCCGCCTTTGGCAACGGAGAGAGCAAGGAGGAGCAAGTAGGTTGGCGCTAATAAGTTAAACAAATAATCTTTGTTATTCATATTCTATATTTTTAGAAAAAAGAAAATTGTTATTGCAATTAAACAAATTTTAGTTGCTTAGAAATGTTTTATAATTCCAATTTGGTGCTGAATGTCTCTTTTCGTGCATTATGCGCTAAACAAATAAGTAAGTCCATTACGCATTCATTGTGTGTATTTTTATTTGACAAAACGTTGGTGTAAATTATGTTTTTGGTTTAGTGGCTGTCGCATTATTCGTATGCTTCTTTGTCTTGCTTATATTTTTCCTGTCATTACTCATGCAATGGTGAACTAGATGAGTTTTTAAAAGGTTATGTTAGTTAAGTAAGCTTTTGAATGATACATTATCACTAAATTAACAAAAAGTTTTCGCACAGCTTTCAGGAGCCATTAAATGAAAAATACTGGATCTACATCTTTCAAAATAAAGTGAAATTATACATTGCTGGAGAGAATTTCATTTCGTATAAAATTGTATTTTAAAAATTTGAATGTCGATCTCACCAGGATAAAATGGCTGATTCTCATTTAACTGCAGCCATTTAGCTCTAATAAGACGTTCACGTTGAGGCAGATAACGAAACATCCTTCCCCATTTCGGATAAAAAAGGAGTGAGCTTTCCTCCATCATATGATGTACATCATCAAAGCTTGAACTCATCCTTGTAAAATGTTTACGTTAACTCTAGGTCAATAAGACTATCCAGCCTTATTTTAGCTCTTATGTAGACTCAATTAAGCAAAAGAAATATACTGAATTTCCGATAGTATATAGTTGTTTTTTACATTGGTCTTGATACTTTCGCTTGAATGTGTGTGTACGTTCTAAATCAGAGTAAGCAAAAGGCTAATGTCAGGTCTTTCTATCGTTTAATCTATAATTTATTCACACGAAGTTCTTACTTAACTTTCTCCCAGCTGTCTATACTCTTATCTTCCTTTAATCAGTATACGTTCTATAATCAGCAAACCTACTCATTTGAGACCATTCTATCTCATATGCAATGCCTACCATGTGTTCGGCTTTTTCCAACCGTTGGATACAGCTTCCTTTACAAGCAATTTTGTGTCACCCTAATCTTTTTTTGAATAGGTCTACTTGCCTCACAAACATAAGGCCGACCACAGAGGCACAAAATATTTTAGTAGATGGATGTACATAATGGGTCATATTTCTCTCTTATAGGTGACAAAAAAGGGATAGTGTGGGGGTTTCTTCGAATATTCTTTTAGCCCCCCTCTTTCTTAATAAATCGCCTATCTTCCTAGAAATAAGGCCTGATGTCCAAATTAATACATAATAATAAGTTTAAGCTAATCTATCCTTGACAAAATAGTTTTTGGTTAAAAATTTATTCCTCAGTAAAGAGCTATTAGGCTCAAAGGATAATCATTTTCCAGAAATAAATCTGTCAGTCGTTCCATTCTTTAGTCAAATGTTGGCTATCTGCTAGCCTCACACTCCTAATAATAATTGATTCTAACAATAATAGCTAAGGAGATTAATCAAACCCAATTACTCTTCGTATTTAAATTAGAAAAACAATATAAAATCAAATCTGAAAGCTAGAATCAAAATCAAATTATTAAACACACGGGATATAATGTAAACATAAATACGTGACAACTAAACTCAAAAGAAGAAAACATCAGAATCAATATCAATAAAGCAGATTGCCTCTAATAAAAGTTAATCTCAAT